GTGGGAGACCCCTTCCTCCCTTCCTCCTTTTCCTCCCTTCCTTCCCTCCCTCCCCTTTTCCTTCCTTCCTTCCTTCCTCTTCCTTTTTCCTCCCTCCCTCCCTCCTTGCCAAGCCATTAAAAAGCAGAGACAAAACCTTTGCTTGGTTTAGGCCCCCGATTCCCAGTGGTCAGCTGGGAAAAAAAGAAGCGCTCTGCAAATTCAAGCCATTGTTGTCCAGCTCCCGCAATGGTTAGGGGTAAACTGCCCCTGAACTTGGAGTCTCTGCTCATAGCCAAGCCTCCGTGGTTTTGCTAAGAGCCACCCAGATCAAAACAGCCCCAGCCTGTCTAAATGAGTACCTGTCTTCCTCCAGTGGCCAACAGGAGAGACCTCCAGGAAAACTGCAGACAGGACAGGGACTCAACAGCCCCGGCTTGGGGTCTGCATTTTATTTTCACAGGTACAGTGCCCCCAACTTTGGAGGTTCCATGCGGCATCCTGTAGCCGGCAGCCATCGACAGGGCTACGCTTTCCGACCAGGCTGAGTTTTCCGCAGGGAATGTTGTAAGAGGCTGCTATTCCAGGTCATCAAGTTCTAACATTCATATTTCTGATAAAACTTTCTTTCATTCGCCGATCTGATCAGTTGGGAGACCAGCCTCCTGTGGCCTGATTTGACCGGCAAATGAGGAAATCCAAGCGTTTGCTCTTCCCCGATCCCTCCCTGCTTGAATCTTTCTCACGCCCAAAACCTACACGCCTGTACTTGAGTGCAAACTCTCAGTCTGGTCGCCAGGAAAACATTCCTAAAACTGATCATCAACAATCAGTTGATCGTGTGCCCGGTTGAGGCTGAGAGATCCATTCGGGCTTTGACAGTTTGCCTTCGATTAGGAATGCGGACTTCACGGGAGGCCATGGGTTTATCATTTTAATTTTTTTCCAAAAAGAGATACCAGCAAATGAAGACTACAAGCCATGGTGGGGATGGTAAGTTTCCCCCCACCCCAATCCCGCTGCTGTCCAAGGCAGTGCGTTTGCACCCACTTGCAGCCTGGAAGATTCACGGGGGGAGCAGGGAGAGGATTTCCCAGCAGAGTGGACGAGCAACTTTCTACGTTAGACCCAGACGGGACACGGAAGGACAGAAAATAAATAATAAGAGAGTCACAACAGAGAGAAGAAAAATCAAACAGGATGTTTTAGGGAAGAAGCAGTGCGGTTGCAGGACAGCTGTGAATGAGCTGGTAGCAGCGCCTATCGTGGCACATGTCTGGTTATTAACCATAGATCAGAGTTTTGCTTGTGCTCAGGGGTAGCTCCACCATCTGGATGTGCAGCAACTGGACAGGAATAAACCAGAAACAAAACGAAATCCTTTGGACCCTGCTGGCACTGTAGGACGGCTTTGAGGCGGCATAAGACGACCCCCAAACAAGCGGAGAAGCTTGTTAACGCTGCTTTTGTTGCCTCTCGAGAGCGCCAAAGATGACACCGATTTACTCGCACGAGGAGACCCTTTTGCGGAAACGGAGAGGCCGCCTGTGATTTAGGTGGCTGGCACGCTCTGCTTGATTATGATCTTCTGCCTGGTGGCCCGCACGCCAGGGTCCGGCACCGGCGAGCCCGCCGCCCAGGGCGCCCGGGCCCCCGCTCTCGGCAGGGCCTGGGCTGTGGGGGACTTCTTGTTCCCCTCCCCGGTGGACTTCTAGGCCCCGG